ATAAAGTTTGTATTTCCTTTTTAGAAAATTCTAAATATTCTTTATTCATTTGAATAGGTCTAGCTTTAGTAGAAATATCCTTATCTGAATATCCTTTTTCATAGGGTAATTCTACTATATGTTTTTTCCTTTCCCAAAAAGTATTTGGAATGTCTGCACATACTTTTGTTTTAATTAATTCTCCTATTTTATTAATTTCTTGTTTAACTTTAGGATTTTGTAATTGTTCTTCGATTCTTATATATTTTTGTAAATTTTTTTAACTCAGATATGTGTTTCTTTTTGCATTGAATAGCATTGATAGTTTGATAAATAGAGGATGTTTGTAATGTTCTTATTTCTTTTTGTTTTATAGGACTTATAAATGGAAATACTATTTCTTTTCCCATTATATTAATACTTAATCTTGTACTACTTACATTGAATGGATATATTTGAGTAAAAAATGGAATTCCTAGAATCATATCAGTTGTTAAGTTTTCTACTATATGAAATCTATGTTTTATGCAATAATTGTTATTACATATAATTCCATTTTTTAATTTATATTTTACTATTAATGGTTGTCCATTAGCTGCATATAGTTCTTCATTGGTTTTTCTAAATATTCTAATGGAATTATTCCTCTTTTAATACAACTTGTATCTGCTCCACTGTCGAATAAAGTTATTAATGTTTCTTGAAAATTTAATACTTTGACTGTAACTAATCCATACCATTTTTGATAATTTATTTTATCAATGATATTTACATAATCTTTTTCTTTGTTTTCAATTTTGTCTTCTATTTCTAATATGGGGTTTTGAATTGGTATTTTTGAACTTGAGGCTAATTGACTTTGTAATATAGTAATCTTAGTTTCTAAACTTAAATCTTTTGTATATAATTCTAATATTTCTTTCTATAGGATATTTATCTAATAATCTAGAAATGCTAAAGGGTTTAGTTATTTTTGGAATTTTTTCTTCTGCTAATATTATCCCTTTTAATTTTTCTAAATACGTTTTCCTTGTTTCTATATTATCTATTTTCTCGATTAGATCTAATAAAAATTCTTTATCTTCCTTTGTAGTTATAACATTTATATATTTTTTATCCTTGCAATTACATTCATCTGAACTTATCTCTTTATCATCGTTGTAATTCTCAGATCCATTTGATATATATTCTTCCTTTTCCTCATTTATCATAATCGCTAATATTTTCTCCTTTAATTCTGAATCATTTGAAAATATTTCATTTATCTTTTGCTTTACTTTGCAATTGTTAGCTTTATGTCCTAATCTTCTGCATTTCCAGCAAGTAATATTTCTATTATTTTGAAATCTTTTCTTAAATTTCTTATAATAGGGTTCATGGGAAATCCAAGAAGGTTGTCTTCTCCCTTTTTTAATATAATCAAATTTTTTTGTAAGATTTTCTTTTTAATGCAGAAGGTGATCTAATACCTTGAATACCAAAAGCTTCACAAAATGATCCTACTTCTGTTGCATTTTTAATTCTGTGCATAATGCTAATCCTTCTTTTTTAATAAATCCTAATAATTGTCCCATAGTGACTCCTTCTAATGATAATATATCTGTACCCATTTCTTTTTGTAAAGTAGTCATAATTCTTTGAGAAAATAAAGTTGGTAGTCCAGCGATAAATTTTTCTTTCCAAAATGACATATTACAATCAAGTCTTCTTAATACATGTGTTAAAAACATATCTTTGTACCATCTGTAATCTGTAAGAGTTGGACATCTTAAATTGGTTAAAAACATTTTATTAGAGTGTAATTCTTCTTTTGGATTTCCTACAAAATACATTGCAATTGTTACTATTAAGAATTCTGCTGCATCTGATTTGGTAGTTATGTTACCTTGTTCATCTTCAACTTCTATAGTGTGATTTAATATTGCAGTTTTGCTTTTTAATGTTAATGCATTATCCCACCAATTTTTTAATTGGCCTGTGAATCCTGATATTAATATTGTTGCAATTGATTTTTCATCTGCATGTCTTACTTTATATACTAATCTTGCCATTCCCATTTCTTGTAATGTATTTAATATCTCATATTCTGCTTTGCCATCTATATTCCATTCATATAATGATTTTCCATCATATTTACTGGTGTGAAATTTTGATCTTTCTTCATATTGAATATCTGGAGGTGTAGGTCTTGTATAATAATTTCTAGTGTCTATCATTTTCCAATGCATATAGTTCTTCATTGGTTTTTTCTAAATATTCTAATGGAATGATTCCTCTTTTAATACAACTTGTATCTGCTCCACTGTCGAATAAAGTTATTAATGTTTTTGAAAATTTAATACTTTATTTGTGTCCCTTAAACTACAAGGAATTCAAATCCCTAAGAAATTTCTTCATCAAATTTATGACTTGCTATCTTTTCATTAGTATAGTATAATTGTACAATTGTCTTTACTTGAACTTTTATTTGTTTAGATAATAAAGTGCGTTTAAAAAAGCATAGTAATTATTTTGATTCTCTCCGAGATCGACCTTAATTTATTCTATATTTTAATTTGACCTGTATACTTGGAATCAAACAGAGTAATTGACCTATAAAAATAATAGAATACCTAGGTAAAATAACTTGCAAGCTAGCTCACGGAATTTACATTATGATTGGTCCTTGAATTGTCATTTTCCAAACAATATGATCCATTAGTAGCAGCTCGATCCAAAAAGATCAATTCTACGACGCTACTAGCTGAAAGAGAATGGATGAAAAATATTCTGACCTCAATTCAATCAAAGAAACTCAAGCACTTTTTTCTAAAATTTGGAGCAAGTGACAATGGGAATGCTGAAGCAAACAGATCAGCAAGAAAAGAAATTGCCCCCCAAATTGCAGCAATAGGTTCTTATAGACCATCAAATACCTAATCCTGGATTAATTCGACTCAGCAGACTCAAAAATTAAGTAATTCTCACTTTTCACCTTAACTTTTAATTTGGACACTTTGTGTAGTAAAGTTTGTGAAATGTCTCTAAATATCTCAACTAATCAATGTGTGAATGAAAAGTACATCTAAAAAGTGCTTCATTCTTTTGTGCTTTCTTCCAGTTTCTATGGATTGATGCCTAATTTTATCATTGAGAAGGAAGAGAGTAGAATGTATATAAGTGCTATTTTTCAGTTATGTGACAGTGTGTGGAGTTAAATTTATTGCAACGAGTTAGTAACTTCAAGTGCAACATGCACAAAATAAGAAATCCGAGTGCAACATGGTAGTAATCGATAGGTCTAGGAGCAAGAACGCAACCAGAAATTTTAATTTGAGGGGGCGAAATACATGTACATATAAACTTCCAAATCAACATAAGCTTTTTTAAAGATTTTTTTTGTTGTGTGTGTGTGTGGGGGGGGGGGGAATGGTATAAAACATAGAGGAACTTTTTGAAATTTTCAAAATTTTAAGGAAAGAAAACATAAATATCTAGAATGGGAGGCAGAGGCCCTCGCACTCTCCTCTAGTTCCATCCATGTCTAGGCGAGAACTGTGGCTGAAATACTTAAGGGTCTGCTTGGTTTTGATTCATGGGATGACACAATATTAGATTAATCATCATGTATCATCCCATGTATATTTGCATTTTGCACATTGGATGACATATCCCAACTAATCGAATTAATCTCCTATTCATGGGATAAAATAATCCCATGTGAGAAGTGGTATTAGTCATCCTAGGATGACTAAGAAATAGGATGATGAAATTTTACATCAATTTATCCTTACAATTAATATAAATTTATACTTTCATAATTATATAACCTTATTCTCACATGATAAAACATGAACTAACTAATTTGCCCCTACTAATTAATTTAAAGTTTTTTTGGACTAATTTGACCCTACTACCAAACAATATTTGGATTAATTTGCCTTACTAATGATACAAATTCATATTGAATATTATATAACCATACTCACATAATAATATGATAAAAAACAAGCTAATTTGCCCCTACTAATTTTATTAAAAGTTTTTGACTAATTTGCCCTACTTACATCATAATAAAAGGACTATATTGCCCCTAGACTAAATTGCCCCTACAAATTTTATTTTCTCAACCAAAAAATATATAAATACATAACCTTATCAATTGGGCTTTATGAATGAGGGCTTTAATAAGTTCAAACTCAGTCCAAAAAAAATTTTCTATATTGGCTTGAGTTTGGCTCTTTTAAAAGTCTTCAATGGGTTGAATGTTAGTCAATTTAACCCTAATTCAGCCAAAACTCAGGTCATTATTTAGTTGAATTTCAAACTTAGATTAAAAAACTATATTAAAACCAATTTTTAAGGGCCTGAATAGACTGAGTTTGAGTGAACGCAAATTTTTATATATCAAAACCTTTGATTTACTTTATAATTCTAAAGTTTAAAATTACTATATTTTAATAAAAGTTGTAAATTATTAAATTATTTTACTAAAACGATCCTACAAATTAAGGGATACTTTAGTCATTAAAATAGTAATCATATCTCATCCAATCTCCAACCATACATCGAAAAGGATTATTTCCCAATACATCTTATTCAACCTAGAACCAACCGAACACTAGATTACTTGAATTATTAATTTGAGCATAACTCAATCCAAGATTAATAATTTGAGGATGAGTCATCCCATTTCATCCAATCCGTGAACCAAACAAATCCTAAATGTTTAGAATTCAAATTCAGAATTGTTGAAAAAATTAAAGATGCAAAGTGGAATTAATTAGTTCTAGTTTAAGGAAAAGTTTAACTCCAATCTAGTGATTGAGAGAAACTAAATGTATTTTTCTTGACATAGGAGTCAACCATGGCAGAATATTTTCTTCAACGAAGGAACTAGTGACTCCTAATTAATTAGGACGTATTTGAAGGAAAATATGAGCTTTCCGTGTCAAACAGGCAAAAATAAAGGTTTAAGGACTAAATTTGGTTTAGTAAAAGATAGAAGGAGAGTTAATTCATTTGTTAGTGTTTGCACAAACCTGTAAAGACAATATAACATTAACAGCATCATATAAGTGCCCGGCTTCAATTTTGTCCCCAACAAGTTCCAGTGGCATTTGTGCCAAAAGAAGTGCAGCCTATAAAACAAGTAAGAGACTACACAATTATGAGAAGCAAAATGCTACTTAAGAAAACTAAAGAAGGATTCACAAAATTTTAGTGCAAATATACCTTTAATCCTTCAGCAGTGCAGTCAGAGGCTTGCCAGCCATGATCTTGCGTTGAAAATGTCCAACATCCTTTGGAAATGTGCCTATGCATTTTCATGAAATTCCCGGAAGGATTATCCCTAACCTTGAATCAGAAAGAAATTTTGTGTTAGACTTTCCATTATTGGTTAACAATTAATGTCAATGAGTGTTTGATTCTATAGTTTCACCTGCGATGCTTTTATGAAGTCATGAGCTTTCTTAAGCATTGGTCCATACTCTTCAGCTAGATTACTAGATAGAATTGCCTGAATTGACAAAGCTGCTTCCCATGCTTGGCTGCCGAATGTCTGCAAAACTTGGAATTAAAATGAAAGTTGGTAATTGACAAGTTTTTTTGGATGTCAAGATTGATTCTGAAGATTAGGCAACTCATTCTAATTAAAACCTCAAATATTTACTTGTTGAATAATGTGCTGAATCAATTAGTTAGTTGGGAAGCTTGATTAATTATAGGCCTGTCAATCGGGCCTAATGAGCCGGGCTTTGATGAGTTCAAGCTCAACTCATTTAATTTGAAACATTTTCGGGCTCCGGGCTATGAGTTTCGGGTTCGTAAATGTGAAGCTCATACTCAGCTCACATAATATTCGGGTTGTGAGCCTTAATCGGGCTTAGTCCAAGCTCACTTATTACTCCTTAATTTTCTTAATATAATTACTATAACTATTAAGTTGTAAAACTAATTTAACATTTACAAGATTATAATATTAAAACTAAACATGAACAAATAATAGTTCTTAAAAAGTATATAAACCAAAAATTTTTTCAACAATATTTATATTTAATCGGTTTAAAATGCATGAAAAATAGTAATAAAACATGCGATCATAAGCCAATGCATCTTTAAAAGTTGAAACTTTTTTTTATAATCTTGTGATTTAAATCCAAATATGCTTGATGATTTTTGTGTTTGTAGACAAAAAAAAAAATCAACTAATAATATGCCAATATAAAAATTTACTCAACCAATAAGAAAAATTAGAGATTTAGTTATGCATTACTAATATTGGCTCTCAAGAAAACTCATGAAAGAGTCTTTAGATGTATTTTTGTGTTTTGTAATTTATATATATTTTTAGTATTTAGTAAAAATATATTTGGATATATAATTATACATAATATCAAAATATAAATATTATATATATAGGTAATTAAAGGGCCGGGCCTATATCGGGTTTGAGCCTAATAAGGCCCAAGCTCGGCTCACATTTAATTCGGGTCTAATTTTTAGGCTCAAACTCAGACCGGCTCACTAAATGATCGGGCTCATCGGGCTTTCTGTCGGGCCGAACGAGCCGAGCTCGGGCTGGCCCAGCCCCATTGACAGTCCTAATTAATTACTTAGACAGCAATTCAAATTAATGAGACTAAAGTTCAAATTCTAAATTTCATCAGGCAAAGGACTAAAGTTCAATTAAGCTACTATTATTGGAAAGCTGGATTCTTAAAAAAGGACAATCAAATTGGAAAAGATAGAACAATACAGATCTTGGATTGTAGGAAAGAGCATCGGTATTTTTTATATGGCAACATATGTATTTAGAATCCGCTAATGGATGTAATTTAATCTAGTAGAAACGCTATATCTAATACTATGCAATTAGTAATGATCAGGAACGGTAAAAAATGGTCATGTATTTAACCATTTCAGGACAAGGAAATAGGGCCACTATACTCTCTATTCCCATATGACAAATTTTTGTTTGATAGCCTCCTTTTTTCTTTAATTTTTTGCTCCCCTTTACAAGGCACTAATCTTGTCTCATAGCTAGTAGAATGATAATTATAAATTGACCTGCATTTTCATGCCGTCCTCTGCTACCCATAAGTAATCAGGTAGACGAGCAAGATGGCACTTGAATGCTTCTGAATGTGGATCTTCCACCCAACAAGCTAGTAAGCAGAGCACCTGCATTGAGTGTTTAAGTTTGGCATCACAAATTTGTTTATATATTCTTAATTCACTCTAGACTCGACTTGATGATTCATACCATATAAAATTAGTTGGCAAGAAATACCTTCTCTGCGACTCCGATGCAAATATATCTGCTGTTTTCATCCTCATAATGCACATGCTCCATTGCCTTTTCTAAAGCCTTTTTCCTTAATATAGAAAATGGCCATTGCGTCATGATAGGTTCAACATAATGATAGAGGAATCCCCATAGCATATCCTGTACTAAAGGGTGTGGGAAGTACAAATCCTCCTGAATGGAAACAATAACCAAGAAATTCTTCACATATTTAATTCATTTCGTATATTTTCATTGTATCAACAGAGAACCAGTTCTACTTGAATTGGAAGATATATGAACTTATGATTAGATTAAATGATGCAATGGCTTGAGCTAGTTGAGCTGACCTTTGCAATCGTATTTCGTGTGTTATTCCAATCTGCTTGATGATATGGTTGGACGTACAACTCATTTCTCAGAGAATGTATCAGTTCTGTTATACTCCCAACAAATCTCTTCCCGTACAAATATGACATGGGCATGTAAACCAAGCCACAATAACACATCATTTGTGCTGCATCACAAATATTGACATGATGGGAACAAATAAGCCGAAAGCATGCAACAACCAGTAAGCTAAAGCATTAGAATGAAATAGAGAGTTAAGCTCTGAATACTATGCTGAAGAATCTAGACATCCTCATTGTCAAATTGCTTACAGTAGATTGGCATATTACTACTCAGAGTAGAAGCCTTTAAAGGATATCCGCCATTTATTATCCTTTGACAATAACATGTTACAGAAAAGGGCGAAGCAGTTGTATTAGTATATAAGAACCTGGATGAATTGGAAAGAATTTGGGAAGTAGCCAGAACTCTGGAGGAAGTGGATTGCACCCTGCCCAATCATACACTCCAAGAACCTGTTTTTAAGAAAATATTATATTATTACTTCTGCCCAACACCAAGACGTTAGTCGCCTTAAACAACAAATGCAATTGAGAAGTGCATTCACAAATGTAGTCCCCCGATAGTTTAAGAAGCCTTTTTGAGTAAATGAGCAAGGACGAGTAAAGCTGTATAACCATACACTTAGCCAAAACTTTCCCCATGATGGTGTTGCAACAGCACCACCACGATCAAGAGTCCATCCACGCCCTCTTGCCATGGCCCTATCTTCCCCATCTTCAGGTCCTTCTCCTAGCAACCTCAATGCGATGTAGCTAAGGATTGAACCAAACATAGAGCTGTGTCCCTCTATATGCAGTCCCCAGCCTCCATCTTCATTCTATAAAAGAAAAAAGAAAATGTCAAATAAATAAATGTTCCATCTTTTCTTAAGCACAAAAGAATTTATTCTTTTTCTTTTTAACTTTCCATGATCAAGATCTTTTAGGACCTGATGATTGTGTATGTAACGGATGATCTCCTTTTGGTGTTCGGATGATAGAACGGTATTCAGTGTTCTGGTAATATACAAGGCCATGACCTGTTAACATGGTTAATAATTAGCCTTGTCCCATACAATTAGTTGCTTAATATTTTTAAAATTTTGACACCAAAATTTTTCAGTATACATACTAATGGAGGCATGAAGAACAGTGGGCCGGCACTTTCGGCTGGCCAGAATCCATCTCGGGCCTGAATAGTTGAGTAGAAGCTTATCCCTCTCCTGAGTATAGTTACCACAGCTTCCTCTGTTACATCTTCTATATCTTTAACCTTTATTGCCGGTGGAATTGGAGGACAATGTGAGTTCTCCTTTCTTAACTGTAGTAACATATGTGAGAGTTTAAGTATATTATGTGAAAAAGGATATTAATGTTAATAAATTGTGGTAGGCAAAGAGGTGTGACAGTAATAGTACTACTGCTCTATTGTACCTGCATTCGCATTAGGAGGTCAAAACTTTGCTTCCTCTGGAACCTGTTCTTCTTGAAGTCCTGACGAACTAATTTTGCTTCTGCTCGTTGTTCAGGAGTTCCAGCCTGATGGTCAAACTCCCAATGCTGCCTTCCAATGTGTCGATTGGTACTGTTTAGCCATGGTCCGCTGCCTTCGCTAGTCTACATAATTCATGCAGTGGATGCGTTTAAAATTAAAAGTTAGATGATTAAGAAGGGGTGGGTGGGGAAGAAAGAGAGAACCGAAGGAAGAAAATTTTAAAGCTTGTAACAATTACAATAGGAGAGGAAGCCTGTTTTTCAGTTAATTGGATGATAGATAATTAAAATGAAAGGGTAAGATTGGATAAATTAATAGGAGCAACTGAGAAGGAAAAGAAAGCTTGGAAACAAACCGTTGATCGAGATTCAGAGATGTAGAGCTTATCTGTTGTACATTTATCACTATCACAGGGTGACAAAGAATAGTCAAATTTTCAATGTACTTCATACGGAAAAAAATATTAAGAAGCAGTTTTGGAAATCAGTCAAAGAAGCATTTTTGGTTAAGTTTTAAGAGAGAGAAAAAAACAAAACAAAAGTTTCTTCAGACAGGTTGGTATAGCTTAGACATTATATGGATTACTGAATGTGAATAGATTGATGCAACTTAGAAAAAAACGAAATGCGATAATTTTTTCCAAAGTTAAAGAAACAAAGCACCAAATCCTGATCCAGACCCAACCTCGGTCTTCGTTAGGAGATCTTGCGGAGCTAGTAGAACATTGTTTGAGGATTAATCTTTCTGACATATGAAGATTTTTTTTTTTTTAAACACTGGAAGAGAAGGTTTTCGGGCAGTAAATGGCGATCAAGTCATGTCTGGTCAATATAATACTTTTTTGGTTATAGCGGTGGCAAAATTGATAAATTGTTTATAATTGATTTTCATTTAATTAACAGTGATAAAAATTCATCCAATCCATTAATTAGAACGGTTTAGTAAACGTGTATAAATTGTTCGAAATGGATTGAAATGCATATTAGCAAAAACAATTGTCCGTGCATAATCTGTTTAAATATGCCTTGGTAAATCTCTTCCCCACAGCCACCTACCTAGGACTAGTCTAGGTGGCTGGGGGAGAGCTCTAGGACTAAGTCCTAGGTGGCCGGGGGAGAGTTTAGAGCTCTTCCCCCCTACTAGGTCTAGGGATCAATCCTTAGCCCTAGCAGTTGGGGAATAGGGAAAGAGAGGGGACGACTGGATGGATTAAAGAAAAAAAAAAGGGTTAATTCCACTTTGTCCTCTTAAACTTTGGACGATTATCCATTTCAGTCCCTAAATTTTAAAATGGGACACTTAAGTTCCTAAACTTATAAATACCTTCCACTTAAGTTCCTAAACTTATAAAATGGGACACTTAAATCCCTAAACCCTTATAAAATGGGACACTTTGACCACCAACGGCATTCAGGATTTGTTAATAATTTTCCTTAAGTGGGAGGTATTTATAAGTTTAGGGACTTAAGTGTCTCATTTTGAAATTTAGGGACTGAAGTGGGTAATCGTTCAAAGTTTGGGGGAACAAAGTAGTATTAACCCGAAAAAAAAAAAAAAAGTTGGTCTCTCCATCACCTTTGACTCTCAACATAAGATACACATTTGAGAGCACACAAATTTGCACATACATACACCCACACACAGAGTCATACTTTTAAGAGCATATGATCAATGATTTTTTTTTTTATTGCTACTTCTATGTAATTTATATACACCACAATTATGTCCAACACCAATCTCTTTATTCTTGTGAAAACATTTCTTTATCTTCTTCCGAATTAATCCAATTTGAATATCTATGATTTAATGTCCGAAGAAAATAGTACAAACTGAGCTTAGTGAGAGGAAGAGGAAAGCATCAAACCTAGAAACAAAGAGATCCAATGTTGATGAACGAGCAAGACATTGAAGATAATCAGCAGGATAAGCGGATTACAGGGCTGGGCGAGTTGATTTCTTTTGGGTTATGCGGAGCGTTTGAAAGAAGTAAAGTGGTTTCTTGCTAAGTCAAGCTGTTACAGTCTATCGGTTTGTCTTTTTGTTGAAGATGCGGCAATTCACAGAATTAGCTGCCCAGCAGGTATGTCAACATTGCACCACTGGTGGTGCCAACATCGTACCACTCTCAAAGAGGCCACATGTTACAGCAAAAGTGATCGGATCACCACTCAAATCACCACTGTTGGATAATAGCAAGGAAATTGAACATAATTTTCTTGAAAATTCTTATGTTTGATGAGGCAGACCACATGTTAGCTGAGGTTAATTATTTTTGTCCATTTTGCTTTTGCCTTCCAAACCAAACCAAACACCCCTCCCACCCCAACCAAAACTAAGGAGGCGTTTATTAATAGGGATAATTTCAGAAACCTCCCTCAAGAGAGGTTTCTGACAATTTCACTCACCTCCCTTAAGGTTTTCAAAATAACACTAACCTCCCTTATAGTGTTTTATTGGATGAAAATAGTACTCATATACCCTAAGATATTATGTTTTATTGGAAACTAACATCCAGCAATTAAGTAATTAGGGTACTAATTAACTGTTAGTAACTAATTAACGAAAATAGCTATTAGAAAACTTTTTAATGATGAACAATAACCTGCAATTACAAAATGGTGCCAATTGATATACCAAATTTTTGTTCACTCTCAGAATTTGATACACCAAACAGTAATTTGTCTGGATATTTTGTACTCTTAAAAATCTTCACAGTTGCCTTGCAATTACACTTGCAATATTTGTTCTTAATGCTAAAAGATGTGGGTGAATATTATGATTTTCTCCTGTAGCTTGATAGCACTATAGTTTCTACACCTATATTTCACCTTCAACTTACGAACTCTATACAAAATCACTATTTTTCCACCTCAAATTTTGCTGCTTGAAGTGAAAATGAGATCCATCTTAATGCTTCTTGTTGCCGTTATATGCAAAATTGGTAAAGACCTAAAAAAATAGCCATCATAATCCAATGCACTAGCGTTGATCTAACTTTGTAAAGAAAGTTAGTTGCTATTTATTTTTGCTTTCTTTGCCATTTGCACTTATCTTCCCTCATTTTTATTAACATGTTTTTCATTCCTTTACAATATAATTTGTACACAAACATAAAGAGCATTTATGGAATAAAAGTTTTATCTCTCTTCTCAAAGTATTTTTAATGACTTTTTTTTATTTGGACTAATTTTGTTACCAAAATCTTAATTTCAGAAGAGGTTAGTGTAATTTTACAAACGTTAACAGAGGTCAATGAAATTGTTAGAAACCTCAAGAGAGGTTTTTGAAATTATCCCTTATTAATATGATGTGTTCTTTTGGTTGGAAGGGCAGCGGTTAAACAAAGGAGGTGTTTATTAAAAGGTTAAAATACACTTTATCCTCTGTGGTTTAGCGCTTTTTCACATAACTTCCTTATAGTTTGAAATACTATATATAACCCCTGCATAATTTGGCCTAAAATGTCAAAGTCACGGAATTTGCAATCAATAACGAAGTCAACTAAAATGTCAAAAGCACCCCTTTGTGAAGTTAAAAATTATTAATTAACCACCGGGGCTTGTGTATATATTTTCAAAACATAGGGATGGTAAAACACTAAACTATAAGGGGGTTATGTAATAAAATATAAAATCATAAGGGGTCAAAGTATAATACATATTAAGTTTATATATTTTGGTCATCTCACCCATTTTAGTTTTTAAACAACGATATTCTCGACATTTCCTTGGGTTTCGTTACAGAGGATCATTTTAGTTATATTGACACTTTAGTCCAAACTATAAGAAGATTATGCATAATTTTTTAAACTATGGAGGGTGAGAAGGTTATATGAAAAATTACTAAACCACCAGGGGTAAATGTGTATTCTATCCATATTAATATGATATGTTATTACTAGCAATGAGGCGAAATAGTTGCGTATTATATTTTGATGTTTCTAATTTCTTTAAATGGATAGAAGTGGATAGGAATTATTGGCACAAAAAAATTTTACTTTCATTGTAAACACATTTTTTAGCGCGTCTTTTTATGTTTACAATTATTTTTTTATCTCACATATATCACATCATAAAAGTGTTACAATAATTATTCCTAATTATATTTCAAACAATCCCCTGTCCAAACACACTCATATAATCATCCATCTAGAAAACGACAAAATGTAAACTACTATAAAAATAGGGCAACACGTCTTCACTTATATAATGGAGTGTAGCATTCATGTTACACACTCTATATATTAATACTTATATTTTATATAGATACTTATATTTTTTAAAATTATCACAATTATATATTTAGTTCAGTTGAACTCTTAAAAAGAACCTATGTCAATGAATCATGGCATGCAACATTAAGTTTTATACATGAATATGTAATGGAAGAGTCATATCCTAAAAGCAGGAGTTTGCGATCAGAATTCTGCATTCCGACCCTTTATTAGGCGGAGAGCTATGTCACTTCACATAGTAGTCGTGGAGTTCACCAAATATTTGATGCTCTATGTATGTGAATATTATGTCGAAGGATCAGGGGCTTCACAAATTTTAGCTCAAATCAATTTGCTCCTAAGGTATAAATAAATAGTTTTAGGCAGGATGTGAACTGATAGTACTATGGTGTAAAAAATTAGAAAAGAACCATTTTGTGCTCAATTAATCCGAAGTAGAATTTGTGAGACCATGATCCTATTTTGAATTGTATTTTGCATGTTTACAATTCAAAGTGGAGATATTAATTTTGTGGATGCATTGGTTACTACAGTTATGAAGTTGTATATATGATATGAACTTTTTCAAACTTGTTACGCAGGCTGTGTGTTTGTTTATATGATTTGTACTTAGATGGGGTTTCATTTTCGTAAAATAATGTTGTATTTTGCAACTGATGGAAACATTAACCCAAGAAACTAGGGTGATGATGGATAATCAAAATAAAAGAGTGGATTGGATAAATAGGAGCAACTGATAAAGGAAAAGGATGCTTGGAAACAAACCATTGATTGAGATTTAGAGCTTTAAAGCTCATCTGTGGTGCATTTATACTATCATCGGGTGCGAGAGAATAAATTTCAATGGAGTCATATGGAAAAGAATACTAAGAAGAAGTTTTGGAAATCAATTTAAGAAGGATTTTTGGTAAAGTTTAAAAGAAACATTTATGATAAAGTTTAAGATCCTGAGAAGCAATTTTGGTGGAGGAGAAAAAAAAAAAAAAAAAAGGACACGTTGGTCTAGCCCGAAGATTATTGCGATTAATGAATGATGGACTGTGAACAGATACTTGAGTGGATGAATCCAATCGTAAAAAATTACATGGCATGATTTTGTCCGAAGTGAAAAACAAATTAAGGCCCAAAAATCTAATTGAAATCTGGCGTGCGTCAAGATTAATCTTTGTA